GTGTGGGGTGGTTGCTTGTGACTTTGATTTTTTTTTTTTTTTTTTTTTTTTAACTTGCAAGGCACAATGGAATATATTATTCCTATAAAGGAAATTGACTCAATCAAGGACGATTTCACAATTAAAGTTCAGATCATACGTCTTTGGACTCAAAAGTCAAGAACAATGTCTTATAATAGTCTATATCCCATTTTTAGTTTAATTTTCTAAATATATGTGTGGTTGTCTATGTGTGTGTATCTCTTTAAAAATTCTGCAATTTCATCATTTTATGACCCCCATTTGCGAAGTTGAGTATTTATTTCCAAAAATGCGAAACTCCAGGGACAATATTTGAAATCTTCTGTTTTCTTCCCCAATTCGCATTCTACTGTGAAATACTTCGCATCTTCATTCTTACACCCTTCGCATCCCTTCGCATTAATCACCTTCGCATTTTCATTCTTACACCCTTCGCATCCCTTCGCATTAATCACCTTCGCATTTTCATTCTTACACCCTTCGCATCCCTTCGCATTAATCACCTTCGCATTTTCATTCTTACACCCTTCGCATCCCTTCGCATTAATCACCTTCGCATTTTCATTCTTACACCCTTCGCATCCCTTCGCATTAATCACCTTCGCATTTTCATTCTTACACCCTTCGCATCCCTTCGCATTTTAACCTAATTAATCAAATGCGATTCACAAAATTTTTCATTCCAGATGCGAACACAGTTTAGTTCTTGAACTCTAAACTTGCGAAATCAAAATTTTCATATGTTGAACCCATATGCGAATATTAACCCAATTGACTTCAAATTGATTCATAGATGCGAACACTCGATTGTTTTACTTTCGCAAAATGAGCATCAACAACTCCACAATCGTGTTTTTAAATTCTTGCAACCAACAATTTCATAGTCCTTGACTTCGCGTTTTTCTTCATGAATCATCCCTCAATCATCAATCCAATTTCGAATCAAAAACTCATATGTTCTTGCTTTATCGATTCATCGACCTAATACACAAGGTTTAATAGAGTTGACCGGCTTGACTTGATGACTTGACTTGACTCAAGATTGACGATTGTCACAAATTGACTCGAATATGACGGTTGTCACACATTTGCTCCTGATCATTTTCATGGTTTGGTTATCCTAGCATCTATAGTCTATATCATCCAGCTTGTTCCTGAAAAAATTATACTTCTTATCTTTGGCTTCAAGTTTGTCTTTTTCTGCATCTTTAACCTTGACATAAGAAATACAAAAAACACTTTAAGTTGAGAGAAAGAGATACTTCCCTTTTGTACCATTCCTATTATGGAATCTTAAGCCTAATGGTGACTAAGGGACTGCGATTTATAAGATAAGTAGTTGTGCTTACTGCGTCTGCCCAAAACATTTTTGGCATCCCTGCATATAACCTCATGCTTTTATTCCTCTCATTTAATGTTCTGTTCATCCTCTCCGCAACACATTTTGCTAAGGTTTTTTTGGCATAGTCTTCAACATTATGATTTTGTGTCCTTGCTGTTATATTCACCCTCATTATCTGGCTTTAGAAATTTTATTGGCAGATTTGTCTCATTTTCCACAACAGCTTTGAACCTTATTAAAGTACAGAAAACGTCAAATTTACTTTTTATAAAGTAAACCCATACCTTTCTTATAGAATCATCTATAAAGGTAATGTGGTGTCGGGAACCTCCTGTTGATGAAACTGATGTAGGATCGAAGACATTAGAATGTATCGGCTCAAGCTTTTCTAAATTTGGTGGTTGACCCATCTTCACTAAAGTAACTCTTTTCTATTTACCAAATACGCATGGTTCATAAAAGTAGACTGTCAGATTCTTCAACTATGAGATCCTTCCCTTTGAACCAATCATCTTTATTCCCTTATTACTCATATGGATAATTCTTTGGTGCCATAAAGTAGAGGACTCCCCATTTCTAATAGTTGCATTTGATTCTCCTAAGTTCAACTCCACCATATATAGAGTTCCCTTCTTTTAGCCTTGCGAAATGACAAAGTTCCCTTTAATAACCTTCCATTTACCTTTTCTAAACTTTACATCATGTCACATTTCATCCAGTTGTCCTACTGAGGTCAACATTTTCTTCAGATCAATAATGTATTTCAAATCCTTCAAAATTTAGGTAGTACCCATTGAAGTTTTTAAAGCTACATCTCCAATACCAGTGATATTCATAAATTTACCGTCTTCTAGGAGAACAATACCACTGTAAGATCTAAAAGTTCTTTTGATTTCTTTGTTGTGGCAAGCGTGAAATGATGCTCCTGAATCGATCACCCAATAATTGGCTGGATTCTCTACACAACAAATCAATACATCATCGTAGTCTACAACCACATTCAACTCCTTGACATTATCTATAGGAGGTTTAGATAAAGGTGAGTTTAATTTCTTCTAATGTATGTAATCCTCAATCCGCATCTTCCAGAATCCAAAATCATGTCCTTCAAATTTATCAATTTTCACCTCCCGTCTTCAGCCAAAGCTTTGATACTAGTTGTTAGGTTTGAAGAAACGATAAATAAAACAGATCTGAGAAACATGAGAAATCATAAACGAAATCAATGCACAGAAAACACATAGATTTAAGTGGTTTAAACTATCCTACAATAGGCTACTTCCACTATCTATAATAGGCTACGTCCACTATCGAACCAGAGAGATATTTTATTCCACACATGCTTTTTCTTCTACAATGTTATAGATATGACCATTTATAAATATATAAATGACAAGATTTAACCTAAACATTTAAAAGGCCAAGCTCGATAGAAAAACAAAAAAACAACTACCTAGAAAAAAAAAGTTGGCCCGCCCAAAACATTTTCAATGTTTAAAATTCCAGATCTAATGATAAGTCTCTATATCTAACCAAACATGTTTAAAGAAGTTATTACATTGTTCACCCAAATGAAAAAAATAGGTGTTTGGCCAGATTGCTTCACTCTTCCTCATGTACTTAAGGCGTGTGGAGGAATTACTTCCTTGAAAGTTGGTTGGGTTGTACATGAGCAAATTATTAGGCGTAGATTTAAAGTAGATGCGTTTGTGCATAATGGGATTATGGAGTATATGCCAAGTGTGGTAGATTTTATCATGGACTAGAATCATTTCAACTTACGCTCAAAACAGATAACTAGTTAAAGTTGTAAGAATCTTCAAAATAATGAGGAGTTATGGTATGCAACCAGATTGGATTACTTTGGTTTGTGTTATCAACTTCTATAATGAAATAGAGGATTTTGTTATCTACATTTTTTGTAGGATTTCTGTCAGTTTTAATTTTAATTGAAGGTGAACATATTAAGTGCATGTGAGGTGTTGGATGAAATGCTCAAGTGAGGCTAGACAATAATGTCTTTCATTTTTTGGTTATGTAAAAATGGAGGTGGTGAGATAGGTAAAGAAAAATTCATGATTGAGATGGGCAAGGAAAATGGAGGCTCTTACTTGATAATTAGTGTTTGATTATGTTATTATAATCTAAATTCATTATATGTAACAAACAGATCCTTTTTTTGTCTATTTCTTTTATGAAGTTTACATTATGACATTTTGGAAAATTGATCAACCAATTATGTGATAACTTGATGCAGATTACTTGAAAGAAACAAGTAAAGAACAACGTATATGGATGTAATAATTGTTGACATCATAATAAGATACATTGTTCATTTCATGTTTTTTTTTCCTTTTAACTCATGTCTAGATAAATAATGTTTTAAAATATTTGAGAAACAGACAGTATATTAGAGGAATAGAAAACAAAGCAAATTTTTAAAAAGCAAGGACTTAATGGGGAAAGCCTCTTTTTTCTGACTTTCTTTATTTAGTGTTAACTTTTTACTAATTTGTAATCATTTTTTCCTAAAAGCATGTTCTTAAATCTACACTTCCATTTTTCAACTTTGCAGGATACATGACTCAATTCTTTTATCTGTATTTGAAATGAACAATTGGATATTTTAATCAATTTTGGACTTTGTAGTGCTTTGTGATTAATGAAGCTAACAGAATATTAGAAGCAAACTTTAAAGAGGAAATGAAACAGGTAATAAAAATCTAATCGAATGTATGGTAGGTTGCACCATATTGTTATTTTAGAAGAAATGCAAGAAATAGGCACATACTTATTATTTGTTCTATAAATTCTGATGGTTGTGCTTCTGGGAATACATATCTCTTATTATGTTGTCAACAAAATGGAACCACAATAAAGGAGTACTTGATGAAGTTGGTTGAAGCACTTTAGATGATTAAGTGCAAGAAATTACACATGTCCTTTTTATGTCCGCAAGTGCAGGAAATAACAATGTAATTTGCTATTTCTTATATTTAAGCTTCCTTTATGTCAAATAAATATAAGTAAGTTACTATTTCATGCATCTAGGCCTTTTTTGTTAAACCGTAAGAAATAACAGTATACATTAATTGATTTGATTTGAAGATTCACCTCATCTTCATGTCTTGGATGTTATCTCCAACAAATTTGGTAGTGTTTTGTTACTCTAAATGAGGTCAAGCATCAGAGAAGAGAGGATCTCAATTTTATGTCTTCCTAATTCATTAACTTTTCATACGTTTCTCATTTCTTTAGTTTATGATTTTTTGTAAGTATGTATTCATCAAATGGAAAATAAGAATCTAAATAGATTATCCAATCATTTTTCTATTTCATCTTATTTTCTTTACACATTTATAATAAGCACAACAATATCATTTAGTTATCAAGAAAAAATGGTTTGTAATCCTTGAAAAAATATTTATCCATATATATAATCATAAGGGTCCCTTGATTTTTGTAAAGAGACGATAATTGCAAAGGTTTAATAAAAATAAGCACACCTATTTCATGAATTTCAAAGTAACAATCATTAAAGAACGTAAACACATTTACGTTGATGGGGGAGAGTTGACTATGACACTAATTATTGCCGGACATTTGCGTTACAGAAGTAACTGATGCTCTAAAGTCTTTACTTCTTTCCTTGTTTGAGCCGCCATCTAGTCCTTCCTTTCATGATATTACTATTGTCATCATCGATGTCAAATCGAAGCAAATGTTGGCAATCAACAATGTCATAATTAGATGTTTCATCACTGTTGTTTGTCAATATAGAAGTGAAGGCTTGCAGTATATTGTCCTTTGTAAACTCTCGATAATAATCTAGTGTCATGCTATGAATCTCGTAATTCTCTATAATTGTCTTGGGAGCACTCTACAATAGCAACTAAGTGTCATTATAATTCATGTATCATTCATCCATAAAATATAAATAAGATAAATCTAACTAATTCTTTAGTGATTTTTCAAAAAATGACCAACAAATTATGAAATTACCAAAATATATAGCCATGAAAATATTAGTTAGATTGGATTGGATTGAGCAATGATTTTCTTATCTTGAGTTGCTATTTTCTCCTTTGGGCTACAAAAATCTTCAAGGAGGGAAAATAGGAAAAAGAGAGGGTGATTTTTTAACTTGTGTTTTTTAAGAGGCAAGGCATACACCTTACTGCTAAAGAAGTAGACATATTTTGTAATTAGTTTCCCTCGACTATTATTTACACTATGTATATCAACATAAATATATTTGTAAATTGCACCCAAGTGGAGAAAATCACAGCCCAATCTAGGCGAAGTACGAATGCCATGGCTGTTTTGGTAAATTTTTTTAATTTTGTTGTTATTTCTTTAAAAAAAATGTTAAGGAATTAAGCTAGAATTGTCTTTTTCTCTAAAATATAAGATAAACCAATTACCTCAAGGATCAACCCAACATATTTCACATTGTTCACATGTTGGTTAATATCTAAATCGCTCCATCTTGGCTAATATTTGTGTGTCAAGTGAAACAACAAAAATCATATGTTTAGCTAGATAACCAATATATAATATTTCAAAGTAGATAAAACTTGACCCACCTTTAAACCTTTGCAAATGTGTTCATTAATCTTTTCCTCACTTCTTGACCATGTTCTAGTGTCCTGTTTGATTAAAGGGGGCTTATCTACATAGATTTTCTCGAGTTTAGCTCGAACCTCATTTGGAAATTTGGATATCTTTCTTGTCTTTGTATTCATCATCACCCAATAGCTACAAGATAGAAGTAGTATATCAATACAAAGAAGTTTTAAGTCATTATGTCACGATAAGATTTATACCTTGAAGCTCTTACTAATATCTCGCCTGTTTTGCAATCATGCAATGTCAAATTACAACACACGCCATTTTTTCCATGAGCAGCTTTCCAAGTCTCCATCTGAACAATATCGCCCCTGTAGAAGATTTAAGCATGCCAGAGTATATCATGGTCCAACTAATAATCTCAACATGTTAAATTCCTTGTGGTTCAAAGGAAATGTGAACTTCACAAAGCTAGTAAGTTTCAGGATTTAGTTACTAATCAATATACATAATTGTAAAGAGATGTGTTTTAATGATCTACAAAAAGTTAAATGTATATCATCTTCAAAGACAAAAATGATTGAATGATAGAATTATAGTGAACCAAGGTCCGTGTATATATAGATGAAAATGAGTCATGCATGATGTACCAAATTGGATAACGATCCACAACCATTTGGATCTTTGCCATCACCCACGTTAGGTTGTGCTTGGACATCTCCTCAGACCCAAACCCAAACCCATCATGCATTAATCCACTTTTCTTCATATGATTAGCTGTTGTTTCCTGTGAGTCCATCTTGAGATTGTGAATAAATAGCATGTACATAACTAGAAATGGACAAACCAAAAGGCACATGTCCGTAATAGTCAACTTATTTGTATCTTGCTTTTTTTTTTTACGTGTATACAATCTGAACATATATATATATATATATATATATATATATATATATATATATATATTATATATATATATATATATATATACCTGCAAATAGTTCATTAGTGTTTCTATCGAAGCTGTTTGATCTGGCCCTACTTCATATAACCTAATACAAAATATTTCTTGGAATACAGAATCATCTTGAATCATTCTTTCTACGCGAAGATCCGAAACCATGTTTGGACTCTCTTTCTTTGGGTCGACCATGCTCCAATCTATGGCACCTACTTTTGTAGCATTTACCTTCATTGGAGCTTTAAATTGCAAACTCCAGGAAGAAGCGTGCTTTAACTTAATCCTCTCATGCTCATGCATGGCTCCTGGAATGCATCCGAACTTGTTGGATGTCATGTAAGGGTATGGGGAAGAGTTCATAGTTATGGATGATGCAGTGGTGATCATAAAAGCCATTGCTAATTAATAAATTCTTATGCCCGAATTGCAATAGACGATGTTTTAGTTATTTAACTATTTATAGAACAATATATCAACATTCTAGATTCGCTTACCATTAATTAATTGCATTACAATTTAAGACAATTTTAATGGTCTATGTGAAGCTAAACATGGCCTTTTTTTGACAATGTGAAGATAAGCATGACTGATAGATTGGGCTACAAAAAAAAAATATTAAAGATATCAAAATGATTTTAAATAATTGTAAAATAAAAAAGTGTTCCAGTACAAGAAAATTGATAAATTACACCTTATATTTTTGTCTTTGTCACAAGATATGGACTCTTCTTTAAGTTTTTTCAAACATTTTCTAGTTCTAATAAATAATTATATTTACATCCAAGTTATTTTATATTGTGCACGTAAAACCAAATTATTTATAGTTCTAATATTCATTACTTGGTTCACAAAACCAAACTTTACTTAATAATATTTATAAAGTATTTATTTTAGTTATACTTCATTTTTTTTTATCGCCGAACTCATTGGAATTCCATATATTTTTGGTGTCAATTTTTGCTTAAACAATATCTATTCATCTACCACCAATATGAATATTTATTTGTTTTTGACTATTCTTGATCCTCTTAAATAACAATGAATGATGTTATCTAATAAATCCACATAAGCATTATAATATAATTTATAATGCTTCTGGAAATCTTTCTCATAAGATTATGACTATAATTAATTATTCAAGTATCGCTATGAGTATGCTTTTGAATCAAATTTAATAATCACTAGACTAGGAATGACACATCAAATGCCTGCACCACTATTTCTTGGCCAGCAACAGAAGTTGATTCCTTCACATGCTAAAAATGAGTTTTTTTTTAAAAAATACTAAAAACGTTGCTATTTTCGAATTCCTTTTTTGGGATTATATCAAATTGCTTTTGTACAAATAGGGGTGGGTGGCCCATATATTTTGTTTGATTGTTTAAAAATAACATAAGTGGTCACTTTCATTCAAGTATTCAACCGTTAAATCGTTAGTTTCAACCCTTTATCTTTATATAATATAATAGAAATGGTCGGTTTTAACCTTTTATCTTATATAATACTATACATAAACGGGTTTAAAACATATTATTGGTCTTTTAATTTCTTTTTAATATATTTATTAAATTTTAACATATAATCTTATTTCTTATAAATATACTATAAATTTTATATAATAATTTATACCATAAAAAAATCAAACTACTCCAAATAAATAAAAATATTGAATATTATTATAATTTAATTTTAGGTATTACTAGAATTATTCAACTAACAAATAAATATATAGTTTATAATTTGAGTTGTCAACTCAATTTTTGAATCCGTAAAAGCAAATAAAAGTATGAAAACAAAAATGTTACTATCCATCTAAAAACTATTAAAAAGTATCAAAACAAAAATGCCACTATCCATCTAAAAACTAATAAAAAGCATATGTATGAATTATCATATCATTACTTTTATTTGAATAATTTTAAACTTTGATGTTATAAATTTGATTATTTGAGTTAAGCATTTTTTATCATCCTTATTTTAGTATTGTGCTTTCTATTCACATTTACATTCTTAATTCTTTCATCTTTCCTTTAAATATGCATCGTTGGGTTTATCATGGTCCTAACATAAGGTATGTATTTTTTTCTAACTATCATGTAAATATTTGATGTGAAACACTAGGATACTAATTGTGTTTTTATCCTATTATTTATTTTGCATTTACATTCATGTATATTTGTTATTATGGCATACATATATAAATACTAGTTTTATAGATCTCCTTCGTAACTATGAGGTAAGATTTTCTTTGCCAAATAATGAAAGATTTGAGATAGATAATGACTTTGGATGTGATAATCCAAACTTCGACTGCAATAGTGAGTCATTCAGTAATTTTAAGGAAGATTATGATGGTGTAAGTGAGACTTCAGTTGTGACCTTTATGAATGATGTTGGAAATCTAGGAGACGGTGACATAGTAGATTTTGAGGACAACGTTCATATAGATCTTTTGAATGAATTTGAAAACATAATTAGGCTCAGAATGAAATTTGAGAGTAAGTTGCGGGTAAAAAAGGCAGCAATACTTTGGTCTATCGCCCAAAATAAAGAGTATAAAGTGTATGAAAGTAAAAATAACAAATTGGTAGCAAAATATAAGACTATAGGAGATCAAGGCAAAAGCTTTAACTCTATGCACCATACACCACCTTGTCAATGGTATATTCGTTCAATTAAGAAACAAAATCATCATATGTGGCAGATTACGTGTTGGGCGGATGCACATAATTGTTTTGGATCTTGTATTGCCAATAATAACAAGAATTTGAAATCATATAACTATTTTATCACACATCGTCCACTCAATTCAAAAAGATGTTGCTTATTAGCTGAAACATATGCACGCAGATATTAAAAATAATCTGAATATTAATGTTTCTTACTGGAAAGCACGACATGGCATGGTAGTAGATAAGCAATAGAGACTATTTATGCAACATTGGAAAGTATTTTTGTTGAGTTTCCAAGTACATTTTAGCTTTGCAAGCTTCAAACTCCGATACAATTGTGTAGTGGTTCCATAACCCAAATGTCTCGCCACATTTAACAATGTTCAAGTATGTTTTTTGGGCTTTTGGACTGGCTATTAATGCATTTCATCTATGTCAGTCTGTTATTTCTAACGAATGTGTTTTTTAGAATTGTCACATGAGGAAATACACATACTGTCCAATATTTTCAACATATGTGTACATATGGTAAGTGGCAAAAGAAAAGATTTTCATGTTCACATACAATTGCAGTTTGTCGATATAGAAGAGATAGCCCTCTTTGCATATATGAATGATGTATATATTAGTATGATGTACAAACAACAATATAACGTTGGTTTTATACAACTTCCTGCTATAAGTATTGATTGGATTTAGAGTGATTTAAGCAAATTACTAAAAATTGTATGTACATCGAGGTCAGAGGCCTGAAAACCGAATTTGTAACGAGATGGACATTCGTCATCTTGATGAACCTCGGAAATATGGACTTCGCTATCAACCAGGCCATAATAGAAAAAATTGTTCAAGTTTTCAACCACGATTCAATGTATAACACCCATAAAAATCATGCCAAATTTAAACTTTTAAAAATGTTTCAAAACCACTAATCATTGCAAAACTTGTTTTCAAAATAATATAATATCAGATTATCCCAGAAAAAAAAGTCATAAACATGAGGAGTTGTACGATCACACCTTTGCCTTCCCGCAATCATTTGATATACCTGAAACAAAAACAGAAACCGTAAGCCCAAAGCTTAGTGAGTTCCCCCAAAACACCGATACACTACAATTAACACATATACAATTAACAGCTTGTACTGAGTCCATAGCTTTACAGACTAGATTACCCCTGGGCCCACAGTGTGAGTCTGGATTGCCTTCCGGGCCCACAGCTCACATCTGGATTGTCACCAAGCCCACAATATGAGTCTCCCTCAGCATGTATTTGGAATGCTCCTAGGCCCACAATATGAGTCTCCCTCAGCTCGTAACTGGAATGCTCCCAAGCCCACAATACGAGTCTAGAATGCCCTACCTGACCCTCAACTCGTACCTAGAATGCTCCTGGGTTTACTGGTTACCGTACAGAGCAGTATCACCTCAACCCATCCCACATAATATGTCAACATATAACACAACTAATGCGCATATAGATAATCACATAATACTACAGGTAGTCCTACAGATCTACCAAACTGGTATAACAACTAGCATGCAACATTAACCCATACTTAACATATTATCATCTGCTAGGATATCATATCCAATTGGCCGGCCTGGGTGCCTTAGTTCCTATAGTATAGTGAGGTAACTCACATCACTGTAAGATCGGATTCCTGGTACGATTCCTGTTTATGTATTTTTCGCATTTTTCCTTGGACTCGGCGAGTTGGAGACCCGACTCGCCGAGTAGGAGCGATTTTGGCACGGAATTTAAGTGAGGAACTCAGCGAGTTGGGTCCCAGACTCGACGAGTCCATGCTGGACGAGTAAAACCCTAATCAGGGTGTTTGCACCCTATTTAAACACTCTAACTCGACCTCCCTTGTCCCTAACACTTCCACAGAGCTGTAGAGTGAAACCCTAGCCCCCATATTGTTCTTGTGAGTTATTTTTGGCTTGGTGAAGGAAGTTTGGAGCTTAGAAGAAGAAGGAGGAGGTTGAAGAGTGCAAGGAGGGGAAGTAGATCCGAAACCTACACTGTGAAGAGCTTCCATTCAGGTAGAAAAGTTCCTACCTTGATCATTAGCTCATTAGATCCCCTTTTTGTCCGTAATTGATGGTTTTCAAGCCCTAAAACCTCAAACTCCATGTAATTATGCTCTATGTTCTGAAAGGACTTCAGATCTGGACCTTATGGAAACCTTAGAAGTGTAAAGTCCTTGTGGTTGAAGTGATTGAGGTCCCTATTGAGTGTATGACCTCCTAAAGAGCTTGGAATTGCCTTTTTGAGCTCATTGGGCAATGCATGCACGTAAAGCTTGCAACTTTACGTGATAAGCATACCCCAGGAGCTTAGATCTATGGTTTAGATCTGTTGCATGTCTCAGATTTGGTCTTTATGGGAGGAGGGTTGAAGGGATTCATTGAGCTCCAAAGTGGACTCGGCGAGTTCTATGAAGATGGTCTTAGACTCGGCGAGTTGGATGAACAACTCGGCGAGTCCCTTGAAGATTGCCTGAAACTCGGCGAGTTGTTCTCAGACTTAGCGAGTCGGATCGCGAGTCGGTCTAATCATCCTAAGTAGCGGTGGGTCTAAGGCCACAATGTCGGCCCACCAGTAGGAGTTATATGTTAGATGATTGTCTTTGTGATATTCATCTAGGTTTGCTACTACTTGATATGTTTATGTGCTAGCATGTTATGATGTTATGTGATAGTGGTAGTA